AACAAGACAATGGGATCAATATAGGAAATGGCCAAACAAAATGGCCCTCAAACATACCAGCAATACAAACAAGCACAAAACAACTACACGGCAGTGAGACAAGAGGTAGAAAGAAGCTCAGAGAAAGGGATAGTGGACAAATACAAAACAGAACCAGGCCTATTCTATAAATTCATGAACAACACATTCTAAGTAGAAGACAAAATCCTAAGATTAAAAATGGGAGACAGATTCACAAAGAGTGAATCAGAAATGTGTAAACCTAAATGCACAGGTTCAAAATCAGTGTGTGTGTGTGATTGTGCAAAAATGAGGTTTTCAGAGAACCAGATACAAGACAAACTTTTGAGAGCAACAGAGTACTGTATCTAACAAGAGACCAGGTAGAAAAACTGCTCAAAAAGCTAGATGGAGACATGGGAACCATTCTAAAGGAATGTTCACGTGAGCATAGCACCTCTCTAAAACATTCTTCAACTCCTTATAAACACAGAACCTGGCAGACAGAAAAAAAGGCAGTCATAGTTTCAGTCTATAATAATGGTAATAATGTAGAGAAAACCCTCTAAATTATAGACCTCCAGCATTAAAAACTGTGGTTTTTCAAATTACAGTACTAGAAAAATTAAAACCAAATGCATAGAACTCCTGGAAAGAAATGCCATAATACTGGACAGACAATATGGCTTTCAAATGGGAAGAACATGTGTAACAAATCTACTTTGCTATTATAATAGAAGCACAGAGGGTGAGCAGACTGCATCTACCTGGTTTTAAGAAGGCCTTTGACAGAGTCCTACACAAGAGGCTGTTGTGGAAGATAGCACATAAGGAGGGAAGTCAGGTAGACTAATAACATGGCTGAAAGTGTTTAACCAATAGTAAGATGAGAGCAGCGTTAATTAAAGAAAATATATTGGACTGGAAAAACGTCACAAGCGATATACGGTACCACAAAGCTCGGCACTAGTGCCACTTATGTATATTACCTAGTGCCAATCGTGTATATTAAGTAACCAGAACTTTTAAACAATCTCCCTCTGAACATAAAGGGCATAATTAGCTAACCTCTCCCAAAGTAAAAAAAACTTGATGAACATCTACAAAGGATACCTGATCAACCGGGCTGTGATCCGTGCATCAGACTGCAAGCAGCAGTATTTAACAGCCTGATTGACCAGACCACCAACCAGGAGACCGAGTCAGAGACCAGGTTGGGGACATTAATTCCCACAACCACTAAAAGGTAGACAAATGGTAAGTTGGCATGTTTACCACCTCCAGCCCCTATACACAGATCATGTGTTTAGGTTAAGAAGCCATTTAGAGGCATGTGTACACACATTTTCTAATTTATTAATGTACTTTTTGAGACATGGAAGTGATGCACCCACGGCCAGATCAACAAAGTATCAATCATCAATGGATCACTCCAAAAGCTAGTTGACTCATTCACACCAGAAGAGGAAGAAGGCTGCAAATTAATGAACTGCCCAACATGTTACCTTGCGATGATTTCGGGGCTCAACGTCCCAGCGGCCTAGTCCCCTACCAGGTCTCCTGGTCGGGGGACCGGGCCACAGAAACAAAAATCCCTGCCTCTGGAGTAAGCATTTTGTTCCATTTCCTCAGGCAACATACAGAAAGGTGTCAAGCAGTGTCGATGCCAAATGCAAGCAGGAGCGAGGGATAAGAGGAGACAGTACTGTATTAGGTATGAGATGCCACTCTAGAAACAATCAGGACAACTTTGACCGAAACCAAAGAAAGATGAAGAGACAGATAGTGTGAAAATGAGTGCCAGGCAATCTCATACTGCCAACATAAGGAAAGACACAGATGGAACACCAACAAGCTAGCCACCTGCTCGCCATACAAATGGCAAAACACACATCAAGAACTCCAGACGCGTAGAGCAGAGGTCAAACCAGTAGAGGTCATCGTTGGACCAAACACTGAAAGAGGCCGAGACGCAGAAAAACTAACATCAGACATTGGGCTAGAAGCACCAGAAATCAAGGCTGGGCTGGCCACCAAGGAGCCAGAAGGATCACCCTTCCTGAATACAACTCCCGAATGGACAACCTGGAGCAACAACTGTACCAGGAGAAAATGTAAATGCATCTCCACCTCAACCAGTTCAGTCGAAAGCATCCACTGTAAGATCCCCGTGATCGAGAAATGGAGCCACACAAGATAAAAGGTGCTGGTTCCACACTTACATGAAGAGGTCCACCTCAAGGCAACCGAATGTGTTGCAGATCCAAAAGGAAGGACACATCGTCAATGGTCCACTTTGTAGAAATGGGACAGAAGTGAAATACCCATCCATGAGAATGTTGAATACACCTTACAAGTGAACTGTGCAAAGAAAAAAATCCTGAGAAACAAAAAGCTGAATCTGTGTATTCAGTTTACAGGGCAATAGACTGAGGCGACTCCACACGATTCAAGCAATGAATCACCTTGGAAGCAGTCGGAATGGAACCAGTACCTGGAGCCCTGAGTGACCCAAATCCTCCTAAGGGAATGCCACACAGCAGCAAATTCATGTACCGTATTATACACCTGAAGGAACAGGCCTGACCACTAACCCTGGGTGCCTGGTGAGCACTGGTCACGAAACCCCTACAGAGCCAAAGCATACGTGAGCACATCAAGCGACGGGAGGATGATACCTGCTTGATGGAGTTCTGGGAGTTGCTCTACTCCCCAAGCCTGGCACAAGGCCAGGCTTGACTTGTGAGTGCTTGGTCCACCAGGATGTTTGTTGCTTGGAGCAGCCCCGCAGGCCCACATATCCACCACAGAAGAGGAAGCAGGCAAGACAGGAGCCAACAGAGGGCAGGTAGGTTCCAAACTTTCTGGTCCTGGGAGCATTGAAATGGACAGAACTGGAGAAACTGGAAAATGCCCAGAGCTAAATCCTGCCCAAGAAAAGGACAATGCAGGTAAAGTTGAGGCTCCCAAACAACCAATCGACTAACCAGCAAGCCACCTGGGGTTGATCCAACACCAGCCGGCGTTGAAGTTGCAGACAGGACTAAACCGCCAGAGACATAGAAAGAGAAGCCGACTGAGAGCCTCAAACGAGGCCCAGCTAAGTTAGCCCATGTCCAAACCTGGCATGGAACCAACTGGGACTTCAACCAGTTCACCAGGAACCTGAACCTGGTGAGCAGGGAAAGAACCAGACCCCTAGTTAGTTGACACATGGACTGACTAGGAACACAAACCAGCTAATCATTGATGTAGACCAACACAAACCCCTAGAAGGTGCAGCTGGACAGCAATCACTCATGCCAATCTGGTAGTAAATACACAGGAAGCAAGATTCAAACCAAAAGGGAGAACCTTGAAGTGGTCAGCCTGATGCCCACCACAAAACCAAACCAGTCCCTGAACCTGGGATGTATACGGATGTGCCAGTATGCGTCCTTGAGGTCTAGGGACACCCATAAAACCTGCCACACTTGATCTAATTATTGTCATGCAGTAGTTAGCAGCCTCACCCAAATGTCCCAGTATTGGCAAGCTGGCCGTTTTCAGAGAACCCACCACCCACACGCACGCTAGCCTGATTTAAAATTAAATATCACTCAGCCAAAAAGGTACCTCCCACCTGCAAAAAGGCACCTCTAAAATTAGAAACCCCAGAACAATCCTAAAACACCTAGTCTACATTAGAAACCACAGGAAAAATAAACGATTACTGGCCCCTGGTTATTGGTCAAACCCTGGCTGGGCTCAGAGAGTAGAACTCACGGAACCCTCTCTAGGTATGCTCCAAGTGCCCCAGCCTAAATTAAGAAGCTGTCCCAACAATACCAAAATGGCCAGTTTAAATTAGAAACTACATGGTAAATTCCAAGCCATTCAGACTAATTAGGAACCGTTCCAAAATCTCAAAACGGATGATTTCTGGCCCTACAGTATTTCCCCATAAACTCCTAACACTCAGTACTTCACTTTCTCCTACACTAAAACACTTTAGACACCTTCCTCCTTATTAACCACCCCAATGAAACCTCCACTGCACCTTTCCTTCCTATGTCTTCAGTCTGTATTATACAAATTAAGAATCAGTGTTGCTCTCAGTTTGTAGCCGTATTAATGGGAACAGCTTGTAAAACCCTTACAACACACTGAGAATCAACTTCTCTAAATGTCTAAAAAACACAAACTAGGCTGCACCCCCCTTCCCATTTTCCTAAGTCATCATAGTAACTTTCCTTTTCTAGCCATTTCCCTGGCTCAGCCAACACAGTGTTTGCGAGAAAATCTTTGGAGCAGGGTGGTTGAATCAAACCAGTGCCTTAGGTCACCCTAGAGATACGCATTTCCCATTGGTCCCTAATTTGCCTACAAACTTTCTTATGAGTTCAGGTGAACTTCAGGTTATGTTACTTTCAAGCACATTGTAGGCCAATGGCTAATGCATGCATCTGGGGTGACCTAGAGTGTAAGTTCAATTCAAACACCATATTCCAAAAAAAATTTCATAGGTCATCAATTTACCTATTGATCACAATGCTATTATGATTTCATTGTGTAGTTCTGTATCCAATATACACCCATCACTATCACTGGCATAAGACAACGTTGACCAATTCCATGTTATATTTTAACCTAGAAGAAGCACATCATCTTAAACCACATCATCTTTATTTAACTATTCCAAGTTTATAGAAGATGGGTGACCACTGTATGTTAATGAGGCCCTGCCGTTATTGAGGTTAAATTATTAAACTTTTGGCCTAGATAAAAAAAAATTGATTATTAAGTGAATTGTTTCCCAAAAGTTAAACAGAACCTCTAGAAACTTTTGTAAACTAAATGATAAGGAGACAAGAACATATAGTGCCCAAAAATGTTAGGAAAAAAGAAAATCATCTATGGGAATATGATAAAATATGAAAGGCAAGGTGTCATGTTACTATAGATTCATAAATGCATACAATTTGTGACATGCAAAAACAAAAAATAAAAAATGTCCTTACCATTCAATCATGAGCAACCTGTTGAGGCAGTCTTCTCCGCAGCCAACTTCTCCCCGCTCAAGCTCCTCCTTGGTAAGGGAGCAATCGCAAACCATGCGGCGCACCTCCTTGCTTCGTTTAGTCTTCCTCCTTTCTCCAATGTACAGATTCTCTCTGAGGTGCTGGAAGCTTTTCATCCGCTCTTCTACAACTAGCTTGTTCCTCATTTCTCTCTCGATAAGATCAAATTGTTGTTTCTTTGCAAGTTCCACCATTTCCTCACTAGTTGGATGTATTTCTTCAACCTTGCTTCCAATAATGTTCTCTCTCAGGTCAAGATTATCATTGGTGATACTGACTTGAACTTTGCTTTCAGGAGAAATAACTTCCATTTTTGATTCTTCACCTGTAAGATGGACTTCTTCAACCTTGCTTCCACTACTACCAGCTACATGCTTTGGTTCAAGATTCTCCTTATTGTCAAGAGCTTCTGCCACCAAGCTTACACCTAGATATGTTGTCACATCTTCAACTCCTTCCTCCTTCATTAAACTACTGCCATCAGCACTTCGACTTTTGTCAGGTTCACCTAAGCCAGACATTTCAATGTCAGAATAACAAATTTTTGACTTGGCACTTCGCAGGTTAGAGTCCAGCCTGCCTGATGAAGTTCTTGGGCTGTCCTCACAGAGAATCTCCTCATACCTCGTTGTGCTGAGATTTGCAGAAAAGTTTATAAGTCCTTCAATATGGTCAGATCTTGCTGTCAAAGCTGGTATTTCTGAGGATGAAATATTAAGATCAGTTCCATCACCTAGCAATGGAATTGTTGATGAATCCATTGAAGAGGTCTGCATAAAAATGTTTGCAATATTTGAATCAAAATTGTTATCGCTGAATTCATCTTTAGAAGAGACTTTGGTACTGAAATCATATTTAAGCAAACTCGACTCGCTAGTTTCTTTTGAAAAGCCCTTCGTCTTCTCTGGAGATGAAAAATGAAGATGTTGTTCATCCCCAGGAGCCATAAAAGTACTTTCATGAATCTTTGGAGATAAAATGAGATTAGCACTTTTTGATGTGTTTGGCCCAGTGTCAGATTTGGGACATTCTGGTACAAGACTTGCCCCCTTTTTAGAGGGAACAGATGACTTTCCTTTCTTTTTGGGATATTCATCGGGGGGAAGAGGTATATCTAAAGTATGGATATAATCCACAGTCTGTGAGCCTTTATAAACATTACACACACTTTTGCCTTCTTTCAACACATTCCCTCTATCTCCTTGGTATTCATCAGTTTTTCTTCTTTTTCTTAAATCATCATCATCATATTTGACTTCAAAGGGCCATTTTCTCTTCTGACCATCTTCAGAATCAGAGACTGTGTTATCTGATTCAGTTTTTGAGTCACACTCTCGTCTCTTTTTTGTCTTGGGAGATAGAAGACAGTCAGGCAATGAGCTCAACATATCAACATTGTCTTCGCTCTTGTGCGTCTCGATACTCTCTCGCAATCTCTTACCTTTAGTTTTGTTTTCCATTTCTGTCTTAATAGTTTGACTTTCTGAAACTGCCTCCCCAGATTTCTTTCCTGAAACTGCTTCCACGTTTGTGTCTCTGAAATCTATTTCCAATGCTTTGCTCCCAGTTTCTATTTCCAAGGTTTTCTTTCCAAACACAGACTCTAGTGTCTTCCTTCCTGATTCTGTTTCTAATGGTTTATTTTCCGACTCTGCTTGCAGACATTTGTTGCCTGATCCTGCTTCAAAAGTTTGGGTACCTGGTTCTGCTCCTAGTGCTTTCTTTTCTGGTTCTGTTCCATGCACCATCTTCCCGAGTTCTGCTCCCAGTGCCTTCTTTTTTGGTTTGGTTTCCAGCACCACCTTTTCAGGTTCTGTTTCCAGCACCTTTTCAGGTTCAGTTCCCAGTGCCTTCTTTTCCGGTTCTGTTCCCAGTGCCTTCTTTTCTGGCTGTGTTCCCAGTGCCTTATTTTCGGGTTCTGTTCCCAGTGCCTTCTTTTCTGGGTCTGTTCCCAGTGCTTTCTTTTCGGGTTCTGTTCCCAGTGCCTTCTTTTCGGGTTCTGTTCCCAGTGCCTTCTTTTCCGGTTCTGTTCCCAGTGCCTTCTTTTCCAGTTCTGTTCCCAGTGCCTTCTTTTCCGGTTCTGTTCCCAGTGCCTTCTTTTCTGGCTGTGTTCCCAGTGCCTTCTTTTCGGGTTCTGTTCCCAGTGCCTTCTTTTCTGGGTCTGTTCCCAGTGCCTTCTTTTCTGGGTCTGTTCCCAGTGCCTTCTTTTCTGGGTCTGTTCCCAGTGCCTTCTTTTCGAGTTCTGTTTCCAGTGCCTTCTTTTCTGGGTCTGTTCCCAGTGCCTTCTTTTCGGGTTCTGTTCCCAGTGCCTTCTTTTCTGGTTCAGTCACCAGTGTCTTCTTTACTAGTACTTTTGCTGGAGTCTTCTTTACTGGTTCTTTTGGTGGTGCCTTCTTTACTGGTTCTTTTGCTGGAGCCTTCTTTCCTGGTTCCGTTTCCAGTGCCTTCTTCATTGGTTCCGTTTCCAGTGCCTTCTGTACTGGTTCCGTTTCCAGTGCCTTCTTTACTGGCTCCGTTTCCAGTGCCTTCTTTACTGGCTCAGTTTCCAGTGCCTTCTTTACTGGCTCCGTTTCCAGTGCCTTCTTTACTGGCTCCGTTTCCAGTGCCTTCTTTACTGGCTCCGTTTCCAGTGCCTTCTTTACTGGCTCCGTTTCCAGTGCCTTCTTTACTGGCTCCGTTTCCAGTGCCTTCTTTACTGGCTCCGTTTCCAGTGCCTTCTTTACTGGTAATGTTGCCAGTGCCTTCTTTACTGGTGTTCCCAGTGACTTCTTTACTGGTGTTCCTTGTGCCTTCTTTACTGATTCTGTTTCCAGTGCCTTCTTTACCGGTGTTCCTAGTGCCTTCTTTACTGGTTCTGTTTCTACTGCCTTCTTTGCTGGATCTGTTTCCTGTGTCATCTTTACTGGTTCCGTTACCAGTGCCTTCTTCACTGGTGTTCCCAGTGCCTTCTTCACTGGTGTTCCCAGTGCCTTCTTTACTGGTGTTCCCAGTGCCTTCTTTACTGGTGTTCCCAGTGCCTTCTTTACTGGTGTTCCCAGTGCCTTCTTTACTGGTTCTGTTGCCGGTGCCTTCTCTATTGGCACTATTGCCGGTGCCTTCTTTACTGGTTCTGTTGCCGGTGCCTTCTCTACTGGTTCTGTTGCCGGTGCCTTCTTTACTGGTTCTGTTGCCGGTGCCTTCTTTACTGGTTCTGTTGCCGGTGCCTTCTCTATTGGCTCTGTTGCCGGTGCCTTCTTTACTGGTTCTGTTGCCGGTGCCTTCTTTACTGGTTCTGTTGCCGGTGCCTTCTCTATTGGCTCTGTTGGCGGTGCCTTCTTTACTGGTTCTGTTGCCGGTGCCTTCTTTACTGGTTCTGTTGCCGGTGCCTTCTTTACTGGCTCAGTTGCCGGTGCCTTCTCTATTGGCTCTGTTGCCGGTGCCTTCTCTATTGGCTCTGTTGCCGGTGTCTTCTTTACTGGTTCTGTTGCTGGTGCCTTCTTTACTGGTTCTGTTGCCGGTGCCTTCTCTATTGGCTCTGTTGCCGGTGCCTTCTCTACTGGCTTTGTTGCCGGTGTCTTCTTTACCGGTCCTGTTGCTGGTGCCTTCTTTACTGGTCCTGCTGCTGGTGCCTTCTTTACTGGTCCTGTTGCTGGCACCTTCTTTACTGGCTCTGTTGCCGGTGCCTTCTTTACTGGTTCTGTTGCCGGTGCCTTCTTTACTGGTTCTGTTGCCGGTGCCTTCTTTACTGGTTCTGTTGCCGGTGCCTTCTTTAATGGTCCTGTTGCTGGCGCCTTCTTTATTGGTTCTGTTGCCGGTGCCTTCTCTACTGGCTCAGTTGCCGGTGCCTTCTTTACTGGCTCAGTTGCCAGTGCCTTCTTTACTGGCTCTGTTGCTGGTGCCTTCTTTACTGGCTCTGTTGTCGGTGCCTTCTCTACTGGCTCTGTTGCCGGTGCCTTCTCTACTGGCTCTGTTGCCGGTGCCTTCTTTACTGGCTCTGTTGCCGGTGCCTTCTTTACTGGCTCTGTTGCCGGTGCCTTCTTTACTGGCTCTGTTGCCGGTGCCTTCTTTACTGGCTCTGTTGCCGGTGCCTTCTCTATTGGCTCTGTTGCCGGTGCCTTCTCTATTGGCTCTGTTGCCGGTGCCTTCTCTATTGGCTCTGTTGCCGGTGCCTTCTTTACTGGCTCTGTTGCCGGTGCCTTCTTTACTGGCTCTGTTGCCGGTGCCTTCTCTATTGGCTCTGTTGCCGGTGCCTTCTCTATTGGCTCTGTTGCCGGTGCCTTCTTTACTGGCTCTGTTGCCGGTGCCTTCTTTACTGGCTCTGTTGCCGGAGTCTTCTTTATTGGCTTTGTTGCCGGTGCCTTCTTTACTGGTTCCGTTGCTGGTGCCTTCTTTACTGGTTCCGTTACCTTCTCTACTGGCTCTGTTGCCGGTGCCTTCTTTACTGGCTTTGTTGCCGGAGTCTTCTTTATTGGCTTTGTTGCCGGTGCCTTCTTTACTGGTTCCGTTGCTGGTGCCTTCTTTACTGGTTCCGTTACCTTCTCTACTGGCTCTGTTGCTGGTGCCTTCTCTACTGGCTCTGTTGCTGGTGCCTTCTCTACTGGCTCTGTTGCCAGTGCCTTCTTTACTGGCTCTGTTGCCAGTGCCTTCTTTACTGGTTCCGTTGCCTTCTTTACTGGTTCTGTTGCCGGTGCCTTCTTTACTGGCTCTGTTGCTGGTGCCTTCTTCCCTGGCTCTGTTGCCGGTGCCTTCTCTACTGGTTCTGTTGCCGATGCCTTCTTTACTGGCTCTGTTGCCAGTGCCTTTTTCACTGGCTCTGTTGCTGGTGCCTTCTTTACTGGCTCTGTTGCCGGTGCCTTCTTTACTGGCTCTGTTGCCGGTGCCTTCTCTATTGGCTCTGTTGCCGGTGCCTTCTCTATTGGCTCTGTTGCCGGTGCCTTCTTTACTGGCTCTGTTGCCAGTGCCTTTTTCACTGGCTCTGTTGCCGGTGCCTTCTTTACTGGTTCTGTTGCCGGTGCCTTCTTCACTGGTTCTGTTGCCGGTGCCTTCTTTACTGGTTCTGTTGCCGGTGCCTTCTTTACTGGCTCTGTTGCCAGTGCCTTTTTCACTGGCTCTGTTGCTGGTGCCTTCTTTACTGGCTCTGTTGCCGATGCCTTTTTCACTGGCTCTGTTGCTGGTGCCTTCTTTACTGGCTCTGTTGCTGGTGCCATCTTTACTGGTTCTGTTGCCGGTGCCGTCTTTACGGGTTCTGTTGCCGGTGCCTTCTTTACTGGTTCTATTCCCAATGACTTATTTTCTGGTTCTGTTCCCAGTGCCTTCTTTTCTGGTTCTGTTCCTAGTGCCTTCTTCACTGGTTCTATTCCCAGTGCCTTCTTTACTGGTTTGGTTCCAAGTGCCTTCTTAACTGATTCTCTCCCCAGTGTTTTCTTTCCCAATTCTGATTCTATTGATATCGTTCCTACTTCAGGATCTACAGATTTGCTTTCTAATTTCATCTCCACAGATTTGTTTCCCAATTCAGAACCGACAGTCTTGTTTCCACATTTTACTTCCGCTGTTTTCTTTTTCAGACCTGTTAATACAGTTTTCTTTTCTGATTCTACATTAACATTTTTGGTTTCTGATTCTATTTCCATAGTTTTGTTTCCTGAATCAGTTTCTGCAGTTCCCTTTTTAAATTCAGTTTCTATAGTTTTATTTACCAGCTTTGCTTCCATGGCCATGGTTGTTGATTCTACTTTTGTGGGTTTATTTTCCGTTTCCACAACTTGATCAAATCTAATTCTAGATTCATCAGATGAGCTCTGCAATTCTCTCTGGCAAGCTGGAAATCTTTTACTAGATCTTTTGCATAATTTATCACCAACTTTAGTAGCAGTACTAGGTTCTTGTGCTACATATTCATCTTTCAAGGTAGATGCTTTTATAACAGCAGGGTCTAAGACTTCCAATTTATTAAGAGGCTCATGGTAATTTGTAGTTCCTTCCTCAAATCCCTTACTCAAGACAGATGAGGAGCTGCGTCCCCTACGTCTGGAGGGAGCAGGACCATCACTGTCTGTGGAGTCCGTACTGTCTTCATTTAACAGCCTTTTCTTTCCTCTGGGTGACTTTAAATTCTTAATAGTTTTCACTTTTTCCAGTTTGGCAATAACAGACTCCCCACTTTCTTCATCCAAAGAGTCAGTTTGAGATGTGCTGAGGTGGATCACATCCTTGGACCCCATTTCTTTCTTGTGACAGCCAATCACCAAGGGTTCTGGAGCTCTACCTTCACAATAACCTACAGTCACAGAATACACACTTGAGCTACTTTTGGGGGAGGTAGGTAAACTACTGTCTTCAAGATAAATATCACCGTTTGTAAGACCTGCTTCTTTATCTTCAACTAACACACCAAGTTCTTTAACAGAGTCCATCTCGCCTCTTCTACAAACACTCTTATCCTTCTGGGGTGACTTTATGTACTTTTCTTTGTCAAAAATTTCTCTCTCAGGGACGCATTCACTCACTCCACTATTTCCTACCAGTATTTCACCACCACTTAAACGGTCACTTTGAACACTTTCAGCAGAGTTGCTGCTACTTTTGTTATAAATGCCAGATTCACTATCAATTTTATTACCTATATCACTTTCACAAACAACTTTATCCATTACATCATTATCACTACACTTCTGGCCATAAGCAATAGTTTCACTACTCATTTGGTCCTTCACATGAATTTCAGTTTCACTATCCCTTTGATCAGACTCACTTGTATTTTTGTTCTCTCTCACAGGTTCCCAACTATTACTGTCACTCTCAAAACTAGTTTTAGACCCTACACTTTTGCCACACTGATCGAGATCTTGTTTCCCTTCATCGCAGGGCTCACTTGTGTCGCTGCTTCCGGTTTGCTCTGCACTATCACCAAGTTTATCTCCCATTACAGAGCCTGAACTTCCATCCTCGCTTATGATGCCACTTTCACCGGTTTCTTCTCCCTCTCCACTCTTCTTACCCTTCCCTTTTTTCCTACCTCGTTTCTTGCTTTCTTTTGGAGGCCCTTCCACCTCATCCTTCTTAGCACTGCTCCTTGTTCTCCTTCCCATCTCACCAGTTTTTTCACAATCAGACTGCACTTTAATAACACTATCAGCACTTTTCTCATTCTCACTTCCACTCTCGAGGCCATTTACTAGAACTTCCAATTGAGCACTAGGTTCAGCAGAGGGCACACCAATTTCATACTTTTCTTGCAGCTCATTTTCATCTGCTGCTGGTTCAGAAATTTTCACATCATTTTGCTCACTTTGTGACTGGTCCACTAATGTGTCTAGTTTGATTATGGCAATTTTTTCACCATCATTGTCTTCAGCCCTCACTTCACTTCCGTCTTCACTACTACGACTGTCCTTTCTCCGGCTGGCCTTTCTAGGCCGACCAGTGGGGGAGCCCAGAGGACTGGGAGCGGGATTCTCGGGAGAAGCCAAACCAGTGACTATCTTTTTAAAGCGGCCATCCAGCTCATCGTCTGCAAATCGAGAGTTTGGCTTTCTTGCCCGAGACGATCGTCGTACAGGGGTATTTGCTTCCCCTGACTCCCCATTCATCGTGCTTGCAAAGAGTCTGCCATTCAAATGACACAGTTATACTGTGTTGGTCCACTTGTCATCCCTGCAAATGAGGAAAAACATTATTTAGCTTAAAATTGTATTAAAAACAACAATCAATGTCTCATCTATATTCAAAATTATTGGCATGCTATCCCTTGTCCATTAACAATGCTGTAAAAGAATACTCTGTTAATAAGGAAAAAATTTGCAGTTATTTTTAGTTACAATTGCAATTTGCTGTTAGAATAACACAAATTTAATTGCAAATATAAAGCTAAACTCGTACGAACAAATATTGCAATGCTGCTGAAATAGCAACAGAAATACTAAAACTTCTGCTGGAGAATGACACATTTATTGTAATTCATAAACAGGGAACTACTGCTGCATGGAGATACTGTAATTTGCACCATTTGTTTTGAACTAAGGCTGCAAACAGGATATGCCTAACTGCTGCTTAACGGCAAATAAGTTACTGTTCTGTAAACTGCAACACCATTTCTTTAAACAGGTATACATTCTGGTTCAACTCTACTCAATACTGACCAACCAGTCATCTGTGACCACATCCTTGGCATACAGTGAGCAACGACTAGAATCTTGCCCCTCAGAGAGAGATAGGAAAGCATGTGGGGCTCAGAGATCAACTCACAAAGCAAGAATACCACCCTAAAATCCAAAAACTATAAAAAACTTGGGGAAAATGTTTGGTAACAACCCAGTATCAAAACAACCAAAATACTTCCTAATCTCCAAGTCACTAGATGGCAATGAGATAAACCCGGGGGATCTGGCAATGACAGCCACCCAGGGAGGAGTCTGGCAATGACAGCCACCCAGGGAGGAGTCTGGCAATGACAGCCACCCAGGGAGGAGTCTGGCAATGACAGCCACCCAGGGAGGAGTCTGGCAATGACAGCCACCCAGGGAGGAGTCTGGCAATGACAGCCACCCAGGGAGGAGTCTGGCAATGACAGCCACCCAGGGAGGAGTCTGGCAATGACAGCCACCCAGGGAGGAGTCTGGCAATGACAGCCACCCAGGGAGGAGTCTGGCAATGACAGCCACCCAGGGAGGAGTCTGGCAATGACGGCCACCCAGGGAGGAGTCTGGCAATGACGGCCACCCAGGGAGGAGTCTGGCAATGACGGCCACCCAGGGAGGAGTCTGGCAATGACGGCCACCCAGGGAGGAGTCTGGCAATGACGGCCACCCAGGGAGGAGTCTGGCAATGACAGCCACCCAGGGAGGAGTCTGGCAATGACAGCCACCCAGGGAGGAGTCTGGCAATGACAGCCACCCAGGGAGGAGTCTGGCAATGACAGCCACCCAGGGAGGAGTCTGGCAATGACAGCCACCCAGGGAGGAGTCTGGCAATGACAGCCACCCAGGGAGGAGTCTGGCAATGACGGCCACCCAGGGAGGAGTCTGGCAATGACGGCCACCCAGGGAGGAGTCTGGCAATGACGGCCACCCAGGGAGGAGTCTGGCAATGACGGCCACCCAGGGAGGAGTCTGGCAATGACGGCCACCCAGGGAGGAGTCTGGCAATGTCGGCCACCCAGGGAGGAGTCTGGCAATGTCGGCCACCCAGGGAGGAGTCTGGCAATGTCGGCCACCCAGGGAGGAGTCTGGCAATGTCGGCCACCCAGGGAGGAGTCTGGCAATGTCGACCACCCAGGGAGGAGTCTGGCAATGTCGGCCACCCAGGGAGGAGTCTGGCAATGTCGGCCACCCAGGGAGGAGTCTGGCAATGTCGGCCACCCAGGGAGGAGTCTGGCAATGTCGGCCACCCAGGGAGGAGTCTGGCAATGTCGGCCACCCAGGGAGGAGTCTGGCAAGGCACTCTCTCCTGGTGCTTCACCAAGAAGACCAATCTGCTGACTAGAAAATATCAAATTTAAGTAAGTAACGGTCCACACAACTTCAGTCTAGTGTAGGGATTCCATGCCTTGAATGCAATTCATGAAAATGTGCATTAGTTGCCTTTAGTGTGTGTGACTAATCTGTTTCAGAGGCATCTTCCCAAGAACCATTAGAAAAGACCATTAATGCAAGTTACCTTCTCTGAGAGATATTTGGGCTCCTCTATAGGGTAAATTTCTTCATGTCTTGCAAACATAAGACTCGTGAAAAGGACTATATGTGCACCATATAGTTCTTTTCACGTGATTCCCATGCTGCTGCCGCCTAGTGGTGGTCTGTGGTAACTGGCAGCAAGGTGCTTTTTTTTTTAGTTTAGCTTGGTAGTGGATTGCTAACACATTCCTCTATAAGGGTTTGGAATTTATGTGATTTCCTTTAGGATTTATAGATAGTTTTCCTAAGTTGCATGTTGAGTTATGATCCTCACACGTCTTTCATGCCTTTTGAAGTGGTAAGACCCCTGGAGCATGTGTGCATAAACTCTAGGAAGCAACTGAGAACCCTCCTATAAAGAGACATTTCACTGCACTCCACTTTCTACTTACAGATTATCATGTCTTTATATACTATATTACTAATTTAATAATAAAGGTTTTAGAGAAATGAAGACATATAATTCGTGTAGAGTAGTAATCGGTCCAGATATGTCATGGTATGCCAATGTCAGAGACAAAGCCTGCCAAACTTACACAGGCACCAAAATTATGTTCAAAATCCTGTGATCGTGTTCTCAAAAACCAAGCATTAAATTTCTTGCTTTAATTAGTCATTAAGACATCATGACAGTGAATGACAAGGCACTGTTGACAAACAAATGAGGACTACAAACAAACTTATCACTAACAAATCTACCCAGAGCAATCCTAAATGAATGTAGAGAATTATCTAGGTGGGGGGGGGGGATATTAACATTCAACATCACTAAGCATACACTTTTTTTTTTTGCAAGCTTGGTTTACTTTGATCTGACCCCTAACTACCTACCCACTACTACCTAGGCAGTGATGTGGTAGAGGCAGATGCCATACACAGTAATTTGATACGAGGCCAATAGGCTCCAAAATCTGTACACCAGTTGACAGTTGAGACACAAGACCAAAGAGCCAAAGCTCAACCCCCGCAACCACAACTAGGCGAGTACAAGGTAGGAAGATAGGTAGGTATGTACACCCCAAGAATCTCAAGATAATCTCAAGATAATCAAGATAATCAAGACCCCATCTGAAATTCACTTGGCTTGCATTTACTGTCTTATTTCTTTGTCTCGTGTAATGCTTCTATGAATGCCAAAGGGTTAACCTAAGCATGCATGGAAGCAAAACATATTGGTTATTACTACTTGGTAATTTTGCCCAATCACAGTCTTAGGTTATGAACATATACAGATTCCCATGCAGATTTAAGAATGGAAAAAAAAAAAAAAAAAAAAAAAAAAAAAAAAAAAAAAAAGACACCAATTTTTTCAGTTTTGCCAAATGAGTGAAAAGTGATTCAGATGTTAATGATAGAATAGTATAAGAAACAATGATATACAGTGAACCCAATACCTGTATTGCATCTTCAAAGTTAAGACTATTGAAAATCGCTTTTCTAAAATATGGATTATTTTATACATTATCAATGGGTGCTCTTCACATTGTAACTAGAGTATATGATCTTAAGGGAAAAACTCATGTGGTGGACATATAGTCTCTTGTAACACACAATAACAACACAACCCGAAAGCTGATTAAAATAAAGTGTCAAGGAGTTGGATCCACCAGTCATTGTAAGTTACTCAGCAAGTACGAGTTACGTGACTCACTTTGTGTCATTGTTTCCAAACATTCTTTGTGTCCAATGACTAAACCAGTGCATGGAAATGATCAATGTGGATTTCCCTTAAATCCTCAGGGTTTTAAAACAGAACCTTGACAGAATTTTCAAGTGCTTGAAATATTCTGAAGCTGAAATGTCTGAAGATAAGTCAGTAATTATCAAAGAAGGCACCAAGCCGGGAAGGCTATGTAGCACCAGTCTGAAGATAAAGGAAGAGCAAGTAACTATTAAAAGAAAGCACCGAGCCATAGCCCCACTTCTGGAGGACAACTCTCTAGGTTCTATATGCCGTTCATCTAAGGGGTTCCATTTGTTTTTAAACAGGAGGCTGTAAAGATAAAGGAACAAATTAAAAAGTATCAAATAGGGTACAGATCAACTCCCTTAAAAAAAAATTTAATAGCTGCTATTAGCTATCTTTTAATGGAATACATTTCAGTCTTGAAATAATAAATCTATTAGGTGTCATTAATTGGCAAGCAATTGTTCAATTAATTATTCAAGTTTCTGAACTGACACATTCCCTTAAGAACCCTGAAAAATAAATGCTCATTGCCTTGCTAACCCTAAAAAATATTGAAATTAAAATAAAAACAAAAAAAGTGGGCCTGCAGGATGATCTTGTGCCAAGACACTGTTCCAGCAACACCTGTAAAGATACTGTCATTGTCTAAAGCCAGAAAAAACACCTGACCCATATGAATTCCTCAGCACCCAACCTGTCAAAAAATATTTGCTTGCAACAGGACAAAAATTAACACTCTTACTCAACTGATTTAACACAAATTGGGAATAACTTGAGCTGTGTCCCATTTAACTGCTGAAGTGGCCACAAATGTAACTGCTGCAACACATGCAATATTCCCTGAAATGATCATCAGGTTAACACCAATCAGCAACACTGTCAACACTGCACCTCCTCGCAACACCTAGTGGTGGAGTCACACACCCCGGCGGTACCTGGTGTGTTGTAGGAGCATGCGAGCTGCAACACTGCAGGATTACACGCTAGGACCCGAGGCTACCTGCCCCCCACGGGCCACGAAGCCCTGGCGAGAGCGGGTGTGGAGGGTGTGGAGAGCAGGTGTGGAAGGTGTGGGGAGTGTGGAGAGCAGGTGTGGAAGGTGTGGGGAGTGTGGAGAGCAGGTGTGGAAGGTGTGGGGAGTGTGGAGAGCGGGTGTGGGGAGTGTGGAGGGCGTGGGGTGGAGGCGTGTGGCGGTGACAAGACAGCAAATGGTGGGAGGGTTGGCGGCGGGTGGCAGCGCCCCCGGGTCACACTCCGGCCTTCTCTCCCACCTCTCCCACCACCCACACTCTTCACCTCCACCCACGGCGGGGGCTCCACGCTGCTCCCCGCCACGCTCCCACCTCCACCGCACCCGTAAATCCCCAGGAGAAATTGTGAGAGGCGCGCGAACGATTCTTGTCAATGGCTGAGGCAGCCAGGGCGCAAGAGGCAGCTAACCCCTGCAGACTCCTGCCGCCCTCCTCGCCTTACTCTCCCTCTCCCTCCCGACGTCTCGTCCTATTACACAAGAGCAGCAAGTCCTGACAAGCACGAGGGCGGCCTTACCTGTAGGCTAGCGGCCTTTACATCATAAGACAGGAGGAAAATGGGTGAAGGAAGGGCGCGCAGCAGGTCGCTCCGCAGCTCTTGCTCATCTGTACACATGCAATATGGCGGCTGGTCACGTGACCAGCCGCCACACCCCGCCAACTTTAAATGTCCTTTAGTTCCCACGCTGCCCACTCATGCAATAATGTCAAATAAACTCACTCACTTACAAACCACTTACAAACATCCTCCTTTAATGCTAAACATCATTAAAGAGAGCTCCCTTCCTTGTTAAACTTACATTGAGATTTACGATTTTTTTGACACTATATATATATATATATATATATATAGTGCAATTTTTTCAATTTAAATATAATGATTGAATAAGGAAAATATGTCATGATCACAGGTGAAGAGCAGATATTTCTTATAACTTTGTGCATACGTTCTGCCAAGGCCTAGTAGATACTAAGGATGTTAATTGAAACTACCAAAGGTTTTTATTGATTTAGTCAATGTTGCAACTGGTGAGGATCATGTGTGTGTGTGCAGACAAACACCAGTGTGAACACGAGACCATAAAGAACACAAACACACGATATCTCTTTCTCGATTGTCTGTGTTTATCTGTATCTGTCAGTCTGAACCTGTCTCTTTCTTTGTCTCCTTCTCAGTTTTTTTCTTAACTAAGACTAAGGTTCATTTGGGGCTGTCAGTTGAGGTACTTAGTGAAATTGCAAGCATGAGCTATTAACCTTCCTCAGCTCAGGTGAAGCCTGCCCCCTAGATACTCATTTATTTCATGAGATTATTATTTGATTATTACTTACATTATTACTTAGAATGTAAGTAACTCTCTCTCTCCTTTGCAGAGTCCAAGCATAATTAGACACAATTCCTTCATGCTGTCCACATATTGTATCTCAACTGACACAGTGCTTTTTCTTCATATTTATTATCTACCTTTCCTTCGATCTTTCTCTCTCCCTCAATTTCTATCTCTCCACCTTTCTTTTTCTCTTTCTCAATCATTTTCTTTCTTACTTTCCTTTTCTTTTTCTTCTCATCTACCTCTCCTCTTTTTTTTAACAAAGCCTAGACAAAGGCTAATAAAGACTTTTTTTTTAACAAAGATCTCATAAGAAAAGTTGCTGATGCTCTAAATAAAACTAAAGGTCTAAAAGCTAAAGGTCTGTTATACTAAATAAGCTCAACCTTAGAATTACATTTCCTGGATCCATACTGTCAACTACACAGTAACTTATGATGATCAAAGAATGCTGTCATTTAATTGTTGAGTAATTATTATCTTAAAAAACTACTAGTAATTGACAGCAGAGCTACTAGTTTATAGTTGTTTTCTGTTTCTCACTCATTATAGTACATGCTAATCTATCTTTATTTTACATATGGTATCTTAGCATGGGGTTCAACCACGGCACATTACCTCCAGCCCATCATCACTCGGCAAAAATCTGCTATCAGAACTTTAAGAAACTCTGTCTTCAGACAACACACAGTCCCTCTGTTAAATTCCCTTAACATGCTAAACATACACGCACGGAGATAGCACTCCACACATTCTCATGTGCTATCTACATGTACAAAGCCTTGTTCCTAAATTCTAATCTTGATCTGAAACTTTTCATTGATAGGTGTAATAGAACTCATGAGCACCACACCAGAAATAAACATCTCTTTGATATCCCCAGAGACAGGCTAAATCTGTGCAAACACTCCATGCAAATAAAAGGGAACAGTCATTGGCACTCACTCCCTGATGAATTAAGCAAAATTTCAACCCATCTCCTATTCAAAGGTAAAATTAAAAAGTAACTAATTTCATCCTCATAGTTTCCTACCGTGTGCTTCAAACTCCCACTGTATCTTGTACTACTCCACTTCCCCAATATTAGTACTTAAGAGATATATATTTACCAATGTAATCATCAATGTCAATTTATATTGTAGTTATTTGTTGATATAAAACATTGCCACATTGTACCTTTCATCTTACCTCATATGTTAGATTAAATACCATTGTTGCCAAAATGTATTTTAGCATTTTGCATATTTTGTGTGATGTGAACATCAATCTGACTATCATATATTGCATACATTATTGTTTGCTAATTGCATATATATTATTGTAAAAAAATACTTACAGTATTATTGTATTTCAATAGTATTATTATTGTATAGTATTTCAATAGTATTATTAATGCATAGCATTTCAATAAAATTATTATTGTATAATACTGTGTTTCAATAGTATTGATATTGTATAGCATTTCGATAGTATTATTATTGTATTATATTTCAATAGTATTATAATTGTTTAGTTTAGTTTAGTTTAGTTCAGTTCATTTATTATGCACCCCATACCCATCCTGTGGGCAGTAAATGAAAGGGTTACAGAGGCATATAATGGGCTCAGGGATTGAACCCCCAAAATTCATTGATCTAAGCAAGTTACAATCTTGAGCTAGCTACAAAATTCCATATATGTCTTCACATCATAAATGGGTTCGAGATCGACCACATGTACAGTTTCTAAATGAAGCAACTGACATATATGGAGAGCTAGTATCACAATTGATACAGTATTTGTTATTGTATAGTAGTTCAATAGTATTAATATTGTATAGTACTGTACATACTTCAGTAGTATTATTATTGTATAGTATGTACAGTACTGTATTTCAAAAGTATTATTATTGTATGGTACGTATTTCAACAGTATTATTATTGTATAGTACGTACAGTATTTCAACAGTATTATTATTATTGCTTAGTACATATTTCAATAGTATTATTATTGTATAGTATTTCAATAGTATTATTATTGTATAGTACGTATTTCAATAGTATTATTATTGTATAGTACATATTCCAATAGTATTATTATTGTGTAGTACGTATTTAAGTAGTATTATCATTGTATAGTATTTCAATAGTTTTATTATCATACAGTACATATTTCAGTATTATTATTATTGTATAGTACGTATTTCTGTAGTATTATTATTGTATAGTATGTACTGTATTTCAAAAGTATTATTATTGTATGATACGTATTTCAACAGTATTATTATTGTATAGTATGTACAGTATTTCAACAGTATTATTATTATTGTATAGTATTTCAATAGTATTATTATTGTATAGTATTTCAATATTATTATTGTATAATATTTCAATAGTATTATTATTATTGTATAATATTTCAATAGTATTATTATTGTATAGCATTTCAATACAGTAGTATTATTATTGTACCTGTATAGTACTTTAATAGTACTGTATTATTATTGTATAGTATTTTAATAGCACTATTATTATTGTATAGTATTTCAAAATTATTATTATTTGCATATCACTTGTTTATTTTAGGTTTTGCACGCTAGAACTACAGTTCATCTGTATAGTTATTGGAATACATGTACAGTATATTCAAATTTTACTGAATACCATTTTGTATTACTGTATCCGCCATTTTTGTATTTTGTATCCGCCATTCACTTACAAGATGTTTGAATGGCTGAGGTGACACTATGCTTTGGTTACTGATATGTTACCAAAATTCATTCCACAATGCTGTTTATTTTCAATGATATGTTTGTCAAATTGTTCTGCTTGTGCAAAGAAAACATCTCCTGTAGTCGTATGTTGCACCTCGTTTGGTGGTTTATTCTTGATGGGGAGAGATGTAGAGAAGTTGTGTTAGCTATCATCACTACTGATCAGCTATCGTCAAATTTACTAAGCTATCAATATACTTGCCAAGCTATCATCACTATTGACAAGTTATCATCACACTTGCCAAGCTATATCTTCACTACTGTCAAAGTATCATCACTCTTACCATGATGTCATCACTCCCATTAAAAATTAATCTGGCATTTCTTGCTGTCAAGCTATAATCTATCCTCCCACTCACCAAGCTATCACCACACTATGTCTATCTTCTGTCTGAAGATAGATAGAGACTACAGGATGACCTGGACAAACTGGAGGCATGGTCTAGAAAATGGATACTAAAGCTCAACTCAGGAAAGTGTAAAGTAATGAAATTAGGCGAAGGGAACAGAAGGCTGAACACAAGGCACCATCTGAAAGGTGAAATCCTATAAGAGTCAAATAGAGAGAAAGATCTGGGGGTTGATATCACACCGAGCCTGTCCTCAGAGGTCCACATCAAAAGAATATCATCAGCAGCATATGCTAGACTGGCCAACATAAGAACTGACTTTAGAAATTTGTGTAAGGAATCATTCAGGACCCTGCATACCACCTATGTCAGACCAATCCTGGAATATGCAGCTCCAGCTTGGAGTCCATATCTAGTTAAACACAAGACAAAGTTAGAGAAGATTCAGCAGTATGCCACCAGACTCGTCCCAGAACTGAAAGGTATGAGCTACAAGGAAAGGCTAAAAGAGCTGAACCTCACGTTCAGCTCAGTTCACGTTTTCCTTCACTGGGAAACAAAAGAGTAAGAGGAGACGTGATAACTGCCTACAAAATTCTCGTGGGAATTGACAGGGTTATCTTGAGGTTATCTTGAGACGATTTCGGGGCTTTTTAGTGTCCCCGTGGCCCAGTCCTCGACCAGGCCTCCACCCCCAGGAAGCAGCCCGTGACAGCTGACTAACACCCAGGTACCTATTTTACTGCTAGGTAACAGGGGCATAGGGTGAACGAAACTCTGCCCATTGTTTCTCGCCGGCACCTGGGATCGAACCCAGGACCACAGGATCACAAGCCCAGCGTGCAGTCCGCTCGGCCGACCGGCTCCCCTTTGACCGTGGACAACGACAAACTCTTTAGCACAGGTGGAACACAAACAAGGGGACACAGGTGGATACTTAGTACCTAGATGAGCAACAGAGAAATTAGAAAGAATTTTTTCAGTGTGAGAGTAGTTAACAAATGGAATGCATTAGGCAGTGATGTGGTGGAGGATGACTCCATACACAGTTTTAAATGTAGATATGATAGAGTCCAGTAGGCTCAGGAATCTGTACACCAGTTGATTGACAGTTGAGAGGTGGGACCAAAGAGCCAGAGCTCAACCCCACAAGCACAACTAAGTGAGTACAACTAGGTGAGTACACTCACCAAGCTATTATCCCACTTGGCAAGCTATTGTGAGACTCACCAAGTTATCATCACACTTGCTAAGCTATCACCAAACTTGCTAAGCTATCATCACACTTGCCAAGCTATCACCAAACTTGCTAAGCTATCATCACACTTACCACGCTATCACCAAACTTGCTAAGCTATCATCACACTTACCAAGCTATCACCAAACTTGCTAAGCTATCATCACACTTACCAAGCTATCACCAAACTTGCTAAGCTATCATCACACTTACCAAGCTATCACCAAACTTGCTAAGATATCATCACATATTTCAAGCTATCATCATACTTGCCTTTTTAGCACACATCATCTTTCTGGACAAATTATAAGATCAAACTTTAGTCACTTGAGATCTTAAAGGTATCTTGATTGCTTCATTTGTTGTTATCTCATGTGTTGCTCTTCTTTTTCATCCTGTTCTTAATAAGTACAGCAGCACTCTTAGTTTCATAGTTCTTTATCTGATAGTTTAGCCACTATATTTGTCTTTTTATTTAATGGAAACGAATTAGCCAATCCTTATGAAGCAGGAACCGAGCTCCATTTCCTACTGATCTATGTTAATTGGTCTTGTTAATTGACCAATTGGCCTTTTAGTCTTGTTAATTGATCTATTATACCTGACACACTTAGAGAGCATTTGTTGTTTGCAAAGGCCAATAATCTGGCACACTTACAGCATTTGTTGCTATTTGCAAGTGTCAATGATCTAAGTTATTGTGGCTCCTAAAAATGGAGGTAGCATCACATCTTTTACCCAGAATAAAATATTTACCATTTCGCACCCCCTCTTTTAACCCACTTTACCTCCGTATGGGTTTTGAGAAAAATCTCACAATTTATACCTTTATAGCAATTCTTCATTCCCTTCCTCATTCAGCACAAGAACCTTCATCTGTGTAAATGGATGTTCTTTTCAATGATATCCCTGTATTTAAACATTCAAATAATTTTATTTAATTCTGGCATACCATTCCATTTTTTTGTCTTATTATTGCACTGACTCTCCAGCTGTTAACCCTTAACCCTGCCATATGATTTTTTCAGTTCACTGAAGTAAGTGCAGCTTATGCCACATGACTTCTCAGTACAGTAGAGATATTTAACCCTTAAACTGAGTGGGCATTTTCAAGTATTGTACCTATTCAGGTGCGCATAATTTTTTTTTTAAGTCTTTCTCCTATTTTGTATTGCAAAACATTTATGTCTGATGCAGGGAAAATTTAAAATATAAAATTAATAATTTTAGGTTGGCCATATTGAGGTGAAGAAATGTTTTAAAACATTAAATTCTAAGAATTAATTTTCAAGTCAATTATTTGCAAGAGAGTTTCCTATCACTAATGTCTCCCTGGTCCATAAAAGTCCTTGAAATTTTGCATGATGTCAGTGGTTCCAAGCATAGGCATCAGTAAATGGACAGTGATGCATCTAATATGGTGCCAATTTCTTTAATATAAAGCCAATTAAGGTAACTAAAACATTTAGGATTTTTTCCCAATATGGCAAATGATCATCAGAGGTCTCTAGTTTTGACAACCATATAGAATATATGGGATCATTGAATATTATGAGCACATTAAATTGTTCACAAATCACAGGAGCATTGAGAATAAGAGGAGCAGTTTAAGGGTTAAGAATTTTGGGTTCTGCAAATAAATCTCTATACAGTACAGGTATTACCAACCCTTGACATTTCTGGCTATTATTACTTAATAAAACTATAAACTATGTTATTATACATTAGAAAACATTAATTAGCAGTAGTTTGGAGTATATAGCACCATTGCAGCCAAAAATATTTTTGTAAAATGTAAAGTATTATCTTTGGTATTTTTCTTCATTCATATTAATTTTGTGTTTTCTCTGAATCTTAAAAGAAAACAAAATTTAAGGGTAACCACTTATCCAAACTTTGGAAACTACAGGCAGTTTCTACACTAGAATTTAATTAATTTGAAATTCTGTATACAGTACAGTATATATCTTAGGAAGTACTGTACAGTATATGCATTTTTTATATTTTTTAATTCCTCCGTACTTTTAACTCATTTGCATAAGAGAAATTTATAAAACCACTTTTTTTGAATATCTAACCCTTAGAGAGTAGTTCTTGTCTATTGTTGACTCACAGGATAATGCAGTTATCATCATATGAAGATTTAAAAAATTATTATCTGGGTTGTACATGTATAAGTAAATGTGGATGTAATAAAGTTTACCTTGACTCATGAAAAAAAATCCTACAACCATTTCATGGAACAAATGCAATTTTCGTCATGACTGTTACTAGGGAAATGCGGTCATCATATGATGATTTAAACAATTATTGTCTGGGTTTTACGTGTATGATGCAAATATGTATATAAAAGCTCTCGGTGAATGTATATTAAGAATAACAAGTGATAACATTATCGGTGAAACATCGGAACATAAAACAGAAAGCGTCAGCATAGTCTAGCAACAGGCTTTGACAAGTGCCAAACGCAACCCTGCAGAGCGCCTCCACCCAGTGAAACTATAAATATTCACTTATTTTTGTGTTTTTCTAACATTCTGCATACAACTTAATAATTTCTATGATGAAAACTTATTTGTTGGATTTTTTTTTCATTTTTTGTGCAGAGACGGGTTTTACCATTTCTCCATAGCCACTATCTAAGGGGTTAAAGAATTGCACAGTGGTGATCCAGAGGCAAGAGAATTGCACACTCCAAGGGTTAACAATATTATTCTTCTCAAAACCAGGTGGCCTGGTCAAAGACTGGTCTGCAGGGACATTGATCCACAGAAGGAACATAAGGTAACTAGATGACCTGTTCTCATTCATCATATGTTTTCCACCATCTTGTTTTCATACTTTTTTTTCACTACAGTACAATATATATATTACTGTATACAGTATATTATATTCAATATATTACAGTATTAAATATTCAGATGAGCCCCATCAAAGTCTAAGTTATCCATGTTTTGAACAGGCTATATACAGTACAGTATTTACAAGTCAACCCATTGTTGGGCTTGATGTTACTATGACTGACCGAATACAACAAGAAAGAACATTGCCTATAAAGTCATACTGTACTCCAAAAATTTGCTTATACTGTACATTATTTTATAAGTAATACCTTTCTCTGGCAGATTCAAATCTGATCATTGCATTTGTAGTTCGACATGCAGTAACTATAAATGTATTTGTTTCAGCCTTTCTCCGAATGGTCTTGAGAGAAGAATGTAACACAAACAGTAATATGGTTAATTAGAACAAGCATAGATTAAAAATATTTATTATCATCACTCACTCTAGAAGACAAGAAATAGTAGCTTCCTTTCGGGAAATCTTGGCGACCAATCACATCCAAACAAAGATTTGTACACTTTACAAGAGAGGTAACACAAGAGAGTTCTTGGGAAGGAGTCTTGATGTGAGGAACTGAGACAGGTCAACACCAAACTCCAGAGAATTAAAGTGTAGTCTCACATTCAACATTCACCATAATATACACAGAGTTTGTGAGAAATGCCTCATCCTCTTGATATGGACTGCAGATGTGAATCTATAAGATTTGGAAAATCTGTTTCTTCTTAGGCAACAAGTGTTTATTTTTTGTTTATTATCAACGGGTTTCATGAATTTTCAACAAGAAGCATTTTCTCAGATTACAGTAGTTTTATTTAGGTTTAATTCAAGAAAATTATTTTTCTATTGACTCTTAACTGATGGAATGTTTAGGAGGCAGAGGCTCATAAACCAATTATAAGTCGACACTCGGATCACAAAACGTAACAAAGAGCAAATATGATTGATCACTGATAATTGACCATTAAAGAGAGTTCACAAATTAATATATAATAAAAAATTAATATGCCATATAAACACTCGATAAGAAAATAGAAAGGAAATAAATGTTATTTAGGGACATTCAGTTTTTGTAAATAATCAAGCTGTGGGAATATGAGTCGCACAAAAACCAATAGGCAAAATATTTTGCTTGCAAACTCCCTTTGCATATTGCTTGTACAGTAAAATATGTATTTTGATTAGAGAAAAACTTAAAAAAAAAAAAAAAAAAGGCAACACTACTTCTGGGAAAATTTGTACAAAGATACAAGTAACTGTCTTTCATGAAGTTAGAAGAAAGTTGGATAATGTCATATACTCTGCCAGTCAACCACAGTCTTCTCATTTGATATAAAAAGATAACAAATGCATTAAAATATTCAATATATATGAGCCAAAAATATAACCTAAATAAATGATCAAGTCAGACCAAAGAAAGCTAAAATATACAAAATTATATATAATAAAAATATGTTCTTAAATGAGATATTTTAGACCACAATCGTCATAAAGGGGATCTACAAAATAGTAGAATATATGTCTGTCACGTAAGAGAGCACAGTTGAATACCTACACTTGTATACCTAAACTTTGTCTTGGGAATAATGGAATCAAATTATACTGTAATAGCAAAATCTTCTGTGCAATATAACACATGCAATAACAACATTTCTGCCAATGTGATAACTGAACGTTATAAATGCATGTTCTAATTATAAATACCATTACCAAAGAATGATTTTTTTTGCACAGGATACTTTCCATACCTGGAAATATTGCTAGTGTAGGCCATGTACCATACTTAAAAGTTATATTACTACAAATATACACATACAACATAAAGACTCGCCGATAACATTCTCACCAAGATTCATACAATATTGTTCACATGCAAGCCAAAGTATAAATACTTTACAGGAATGGTTCACACAATGGACTTTCAGCCATAAAACATGAACAAAAAAGGAACAACTACCATCTCTCATGACAAGCATATTTGCAAAGGGTCAGGTCTCACTCTTCTCAATGACACAATATTAAAATATTAATGGCTCTGTCTTAGTCACCAGAATGACAATATAACTCAAAAGAGAATGTAATAACCTTGTAACTCTGACCAAAACATTGGTCCCTATTAATTTCTCTCTAAATAATATAAAAGTTACGAAGCATTCACAAGTGTGCACCACTGTAGGTATGACAACAGGTCACCAAAGAAGCTCCAGGTAAAATGAAGAATGCTCTTGGTTACCCAAGTCCACACATCATCTGCCTTAGTAGCTTAAATCACCTTCTTGCAGTCAGTTATGAGCTTGGTTCCTGGGAAGGAACATCAATCATTGTTGTATAAAAGAAGTCAGCAGGTTTTCATCCCTGCATATATTTAGTCCACAGTTCAATTTTAAAGTATTCTACCATGAAACCCTTACATCACCATAATTTTCTAAATCAGTCATCTTTTATAACATAACTTTTTAATTTATATTTTGATATTTTTCTATTAAAATAATGAAATCATTAACATTTCAATTGATTAAAAATGCTTCACTGGTGTGTTACCAACTACTTTGTAATACTTGTTGGCATCCACCATCTGCACCACTCCAGTTCTCCTCTCAAGGATAACTTCACCATAGGAGGAATGCCCTACATCTGGGGTCATTCCAAATAAACATTGCCATTCCTGAAGCTATGCATTCATTCTTAGTCTACTTCATATATGAGAAGCTAAATGTGTAAATTTGTGTGGGCTACTGACTGATTGCTGGACTCTTCTTATCAGTCTCCTGGGGTTGTCGTGCAGGGTCGGGCCAAGGCCCACCGGGACCACCAGTCATTGGTGAATTGTTGAACGGCGTGGGTCCAGCAGGGCCGGGTCCAGGACCCCCGGGTCCCGCTCCTTGCGGCGCACCGCCATTACCACCGTCTTCAACGCCCGTGGTATCATACTGGGTGTTCTCTAGCCGGGTTATCAGCCGTTCGTCTTCATCTCCAAACTCGCCACCCATCAGGGACGGCTCGCCAACCACCATCACATCCTGCTAACACACACACCACACACCTCAGTATGCACATCACTTCAACACTGAAATAAACTTTTATAATTCTTAAGGTTTAATGTACTGTACTTTAATGTACAACAACCTAACATGAATCAGTAATTTCTGATATAGGAGTAAAGTTAGAATTTGATTGCTAGATTACCTACCAATACCAAATACCTGTACAATTAAAAAAAATTAAAACTGGCATGACATTATCTAGAATTAAAAATGATCCCCATTAACACTTTCTCTGGCCCAGTGGGCCACCCGCATCGCACCGGAAGGTAAGGTGGGCATTGCTGGTGAGCACACAAACCAATGTTAAACTCTTTCACTTACAATGTTTATACTTAAGAAGAAGAATTGTTTATACTTAAGAAGAAGAATAAGCAAAAATGAATGCATGACGCCGAGAATGTCATCCCCCGAACTGCATGTATTGTTTTGATGATGCTGAGAGCGTCATCAGGACCCCAAAGTATTAAAAATAATTCCCATTGAAAATGGGAAAGTAGAAAACTTTTAAAATAAAGTGCAATACTATACACAACTTACACTTTATGAAAATACTATAATTTATGCCAAAACACTTTCTTATTTGTTGTGTTGTATATTATTACTCATGAGCAAGTACACAACCTATCAGAGTATGGTGTCACTAAACAGTGCCAGCTTCACACAACCTATCAGAGTATGGTGTCACTAAACACTGCCAGCTTCACACAACCTATCAGAGTATGGTGTCACTAAACAGTGCCAGCTTCACACAACCTATCAGAGTATGGTGTCACTAAACACTGCCAGCTTCACACAACCTATCAGAGTATGGTGTCACTAAACAGTGCCAGCTTCACACAACCTATCAGAGTATGGTGTCACTAAACAGTGCCAGCTTCACACAACCTATCAGAGTATGGTGTCACTAAACACTGCCAGCTTCACACAACCTATCAGAGTATAGTGTCACTAAACACTGCCAGCTTCACACAACCTATCAGAGTATGGTGTCACTAAACACTGCCAGCTTCACACAACCTATCAGAGTACAGTGTCCAATGTGATGTCCAAAGGACTTGGAAAGGACTTGGGAAGGAAGAGGGATCGAAGAGGTGAAATTCTGGAAGACAATTTGGGTGTGGAGAGAGGAGGCTTGAAAGTTCAGTGGCCTAGCTTCACACAACCTATCTGAGTATTGTGCCACTAAACACTACTATCTTCCTTACATAACCTATATACCACTAATCAGATATCTGACAGGGAATACCCATTGGGTTGTTAATAAATATGAGTATCTGATTCTGACTGCTATTGTAGTGGACAAGCTGCTTAGAGCAATGATGTTTATTTTCTGGTAATATAAATAACATACAGTTTTAACTTAGTCATATTCTTGTGAGAAATATAGACAAATTCAAAACATTAATAACATATGAAGATGCTGTAGTTTCAAAACTGCATATTGCAAGATAGTGCAATGGATGTCATGCCACAATAGAAAAAGAAATCAATGCTGATTCAACACTGTAAAGTACTTGCTGTACAAACTACTGCCTCAGCATCAGTCTGTCTGTAGGCCTTCTCTCCACCATTAACTACAATTACACCAAATTCTCGTTTCATTGCTAATGTGTGTGTACTGTACTCACATTTCAGTACTGAATAAAATATATTTCATCAAGGTTTTCGTCTTGCCTTTTGCCATAGCATTGAAAAAACATTACCCTTACTATAATTGACTTTATTTATTATTAGGATTCTTCTAAGAAAACCATATTGCACTCGGTCCATAGAATTACCCAAATCCTGCTAGCATTACACAAGTAATGAAGAAATATGGTATATTTACTTACTATAATGTTGGTCCTGAATGCAGAACATGATCAAAACATTTTCACTCTGAAATAATCTAATTTCATAACGAAATTAGAAGTAAATTTGTAGCAGGTGACACCATATTAAGTCAATGTTCCAAGCGACAATGTTGTGGAGCGACTTGTCCAAGATATATTGTCGCCAGGAGAGAGTTTGCTCACATATCAGCCTCCTGTACACAGTGATCCAGTCGTCGCACTTCTTTGCTCAAATTGTCACAAATTTAGGTAAGGTTAGTTTGGGTTAAGTAAGATTAGTTTGGGCTAAGTAAGGTTAGTTAGGGCTAAGCAAGGTTAGTTTGGGCTAGGTAAGGTTAGTTTGGGTTAGGTAATGTTAGAGTCAACTTTTCAAACCCATTGGCAATATATCTTGGATAAGTTGCTCCAAAACATTGTAACTTGGACCCTCGACTTCCTATGGAGTCATCTGCTACATATTTACTGTACTTCTAATTTCATAATGAAATTAGAAGTATTTCAGAGTAAAAATAGGTTTGATCATGTTCTGCATTCAGCACCAGCATTATAGTGAGTAAATATACCATATTTCTTCATTACTTACGTAATGCTAGCAGGATTTGGGTAAATTTGGGTGGATTTGGGTAGATTTGGATAATTCTGCAGACCCTATTGCACTTGGAAGTACTGTACAAGACAGTACAAAAATGACACATCTGTTGTCTCCCTTATCTGTATATTGTGGGGGGTTGAACGAGAGCCCCAGTGGGTCTGTTTTCATACCGCAACACACAATTTCAACGTAAATTTAATAGCCCTTTTTTCCTACTAATAACTATTTTAAAATTCTCAAATCCTCATGTAATATATAACAAACTGAATAAACCCCCCTTAATATATTACAAATTTGCTAACAATATCCTTAACTACCCAAAGAAATATGCAAGTCAAGACATGTAACTGTCCTGCATCCTTACATTAATATAAATAATAATATACAATGGAACAATAGTACATTATTTACAAGATTATTAACATTTTAACTTCATGATAAAATGTTAGTAGTGGCTATGTATTAAGTAATTATGAGTAGGCAGCACCAAGCCTGGAAGATGAACCAGTATCGTCTGCGGTGCACAAGTCAAAAATACTAATTATTATTCAGGATGCCATTACTGGTTTGCATTACAAATTTGCTTTTAAATACAATTTAAAGTAAATTATATTTAACTAATAATGACAATTATTCACAAAGTTAAAATATTATTAATCTTGAGGATAGATATATTAACTTATAATGTAAGTTTGTGAATGTTAAATAAGAGCTTAATGAATAATGTTAATTAGTATGCACAACAAGTCCATAATTAAAATTCACGAGGTATGATGTACGAGGTTTGGCTTTTAATAAAAAAGCACTACGATTTGTTGTTTCCCATCTTTTGTATGACTTTCTGATTCATTTACATTTCTTCAGTATAATGTGCGAACTTTAGCTCCTGCCATATTTATTCACTCTGTTTAGATTACTTTTTCCCTGTCAAGATATTACTGCGAGATTGTGCATTTAAGAGCAAATTTGAACAGGGTTGCACCCCAGAACAACTACCTTAACATTATTCCTAAATACTCCTACAGTTTTATACCCACAAATACAGTCATGTGCAGAATGCTTGGGAGGAGCCATCACGCAACAAGGTAATCCAAAAACGTAAATTGCACAACGTAATTGAGATTAGTCCGTTAGGTCAAAACATGGTATTTGGGCATCATGCAGGAAAACATCTTTGTTTTGGATTTCTCACACCTACTTCCATGAAGGTGAACATAACCTCACACACACACTCTCACAACTTTATTATTCAAAACAAAATTGTGCAATTAAAATTTGCAGCATCAGAACTTACATACAGCAGAGGATCCTTGTACAGTATACAATATACAGCAATGTTCTATATATAACACACAATGAAAGGAAGAGAGGGAAAAGGGTAGGGAGGAGGAGGAAGGACAGAGGGAAGAGCGGAGGAGGAAGCAGAGAGGAAAGTGGGAAGAGGAGAGGAGAACATGGTATTACTACCACACACAACACTGTGGTTGTGTGAGGAGTCATATGAGGAAGCCAAGAGCAAGAACGTCAACAATAACCGATAAAGCACATCACGCCACAATAAACAGTGTAATAACACTGTAATGCTGCTTCCTGAATGACAATGTTAATGTGAATGGCTCAACTCAATGTGTTCACACCATTTTATTTCTGAATAATTATCAATTATTTATATACATAAATATACATTATTGATTTATTATTGGGGATTTATATACATTTAAAACTATATTTATATAGTGTATACAGTATATACTGTATTTACTGTCCAATATATTTGCTCGTTGAAATACTTCAGTGCTAACAGCATTAACTTGTGATAGATCATTTTAATCACATTTTATTGTGTCAAATTTTCCTAACCTAACAAAAATGGAGAGAGAAAGAGCCTGCGTGTGGAGTGCCTGAGGTTGAACACAGCTAGGGGGAGGACAAGAGGACACACTTCCCCAGCAGGGGGACACGCTTCTCTCACTTCAAAATAACCAACTACAATATTTCAGCCACAAAACTACCCTGTAACACTTCTCAGAAAGCACACAAGAAAGGCAAGTAGCAGATGCAAGTTAATATATATGCAGAACATAATACTTTAGTATGAAATACAGCACATTGTAATTTGCAATTGTTTAATAACATGAAATTAAATTGACAAAACCCAACATGCAACATAGAGCATTTATTGCGTTAAGACTCTAATGCTCTATTGCAGCCACAAGTGCCACAGCAGCCATGCATACAAATCTTCTTTGAATGGTGTTTCTTATCATTAGTGTAGAAATTTGTAATTCCACTTCATGCTATATCAAGTACTGTATTGCTCTTCCTGAACGTTGCCTTCCTATTACTGTTCCTGAACGTTGCCTTCCTATTACTGTTCCTGAACGTTGCCTTCCTATTACTGTTCCTGAACGTTGCCTTCCTATTACTGTTCCTGAACGTTGCCTTCCTATTACTGTTCCTGAACGTTGCCTTCCTATTACTGTTCCTGAACGTTGCCTTCCTATTACTGTTCCTGAATGTTGCCTTCCTATTACTGTTCCTGAACGTTGCCTTCC